TGATCAATCTAGCTAAAATATTATCATTTAGGTTGACCTGTTCTCATTTATTTTTATTTTTTCATATAGATTTTTTAATTAATTACATTGCATTATGTGACACGGTTTCATAGGCTCTGGGATGCCCCCAACCCCTCCCCATACCCTCTCTTCATGGTGGATTCCTCAACCTTGTTGCTGTATTACAATTCAAATTCAGTCAAGATTCTTTCATTGCAAATGTATACCAAGCATAGAGTCCAGCATCTTATCCTGGAAGCTCATTTATTTTTATTTCAATTCATTTTCTGTTCTGTTCCATGCATTCTGTGGTTTCACTCCTTCTCCTTCGTTTAGGCTTACTTTTCTCTTCACTTTTGTGTATCTTAAGACAGATGGCCAAGTTACTGATTTGAGATCTTTCTTCTTAATATAAATACCACTTATAGCTATAAATGTTCCTCTAAATAGTGCTCTAGCTGCTCCATGAATATTACTTCCAAGCCTAGCAGATAATTTTGATGTGCACATTTGGTGAGAATATGCTATTTTCTTTGTCACTGTAAGATTTTTGCTTATATTTTTCCACTTTTGACTTGAGAGTAAATAAAACTTTTCTTGCAAAACAAAATGCCTTGGCTTATACTTGATTATTGTGGAAAAATTCTTGCCTGCAGCAAAGATTTCTTTCATACGCTAATGTAAACATCAAGAACTTGTTTGCCTTACATGATACTCCCTAGGAAACAAAAATTTTCTTTTAAAGGGCCCTTTCAATAGGAAGCTGTCTATATTTCTGTCAAGCATATTCCTGCAAATCTGAAACAACTCTTATGTCCTGTACGCAGAAATCAGCTAATAGTGAAAGTTTCCTAAGCTATCAGCCCACCCCATCCCCCATCTTCGTTTTGTTGTTGTTGTTGTTGTTACTTTTTTTGTTTTTGGCTGTGTACTTTCCTATATGCTTGCTGTTTCCCTGATTTGGCGGCAGTAACCCCCACTCCACGTGACAGGTGACATCACTGCTATAATGAGAATTCGAAGCAACACCACTGGATCAAAGCCCATCTGTGTGCCTGCTCCCACACTTGACAAAACAAATTCCAAATTCATTCAGCATGCCAATGCCATTTAGTCACTGTGACATATCCCAAATTTTGGACTCTGTGCAAAAACCAATCTGTGCCCACAAAATTAATCATGGAACACATTTCATGACGTTTGACAACAACTTAAAAGGTTTCATCTCTGGCAGGTGGCTCTGCCAGTCTGCAAGTATGTGCACGACACATTCTGAACAATATATTGTGTGCCTGAAAATATATCGTGCAGGATGCACACCCCAGAGAGAACCAGTCTGAGTTCAACCAATCCTGAATTCTTTTCAGGATTTGCTATGTTGTGAAGGAAAGATGATGGCTCCAGGTAGTCATAGAAAGCCAAAGAAAAGGCAACAGCTCGTGTGCCAGTAGATGCTGAGAACATTGGCACAACTGCCTGTGTTGGCAGGACCGTGAGTTTGAGATGGCTAATTTAAGCAACAAGATCCTGGCAAACAGATTTATTTAGGGCAAGGGTGCGTCAAGAAGATGCCAGAAAAACACATCAATCTGTGCCTTTACATGTACTGTGCAGTGATGATGAAACAATTGACATTAAAAAAGTTAACCTTTATACTTTAATATAATCTGCAATTCATTCTAACAAGAAGTGTGACTTACTTTAGGTCTCTAGAACTCCAAGATGGAACTTCATGTTTGATGTGATATTTGTGACAAGTTTCCCTAAAATGATGTCTTTGAAATTCCCAACATCCCTATGTCTAAGTAATTAAACCAAGCTCTTTTCCATATTATTTAATTCACTTTATTTTTTTTTAAGACTTGTTTATTTTTATTACAAAGTCAGATATACAGAGAGGAGGAGAGACAGAGAAGAAGATCTTCCATCCGATGATAAACTCCCCAAGTGACCACAATGGCCGGTGCTGTGCCAATCTGAAGCCGGGAGTCAGGAACCTCCTCCAGGTCTCCCATGCGGGTGCAGGGTCCCAAAGCATTGGGCCGTCCTGGACTGCTTTCCCAGGCCACAAGCAGGGAGCTGGATGGGAAGTGGAGCTGCCAGGACTAGAACCACCGGGGCCCATATGGGATCGCGGCATGTTGAAGGCGAGGACTTTAGCCACTAGGCCACGGGGCCGGCCACGGGGCCGGCCACGGGGCCGGGCCCTATTTAATTCACTTTAAAATGAAGCCTAATTTAGGTTTGACAACACTATTAAATAAACAAAACAATGTATCCAACATCTTATTTTTCTTAGAAACTCTACTGAGGAAAAAAACAAGGAATAATGAAACTTTGAAATTACAATTGTATTATTAGGAGCCGTAAGAGATCCCTTTACTTAAGAGAAACAGTCTATGCAATCTTCATATAAAACTTAAGGCCATGGGCCAGCACAGTGGCTCAACAGGCTAATCCACTACCTTGCAGCACCAGCATCAGATCCAGCCCTCTGCTTACTGCGTGGGAAAGCAGCAGAGGATGGTCGAAGGCCTTGGGATCCTACACACACGGGAGACCCAAAGAAGCTCCTGGCTTCAGACTGGCTTAGCTTTGGCCATTGTGGCCATTCAGGGTGTGAATCAGTAGATGGAAAATCTTTCTGTGTGTCTCCTTCTCTCTGTAATTCTTTAAAAAAACAGAAAAAACTTAAAAATTTTTTAAATCATGTGTTATCTGTTTTGTATAGTATGCCTATTTGTATATGGTTTGAAAAGCAGTAAAGTAGAAATTTCACGTATAGCATCTTGCTTCCCTATACTATGCTCTATTTTCCTAAGTTCCCTAGACAATCCTGTACCCAAAACTTACCTTATCTACTCCTCTCCTATTTCATGATTAATGCTAAGTAGAGTGTGTTAACAATGTCCTAGGTTAAGAGAGCCTGGTTAGGACTCCATTGTTCCTGTAAAAACTAAACATGCATGATTTACCTTGTTCACTGGGACCTGGCCACACTCAGACTTCCTATTCTGATCTTGAAGTTCCTCTTTTCTCAGCAGCAGGAAATAGTGCTGAGGCAGCAGGTAAAGGGCGCTTCCTAGGGAAGATCAATTCTTGATTGAGCCCAGTGATTTAACCCCCTGGGGTAAGCAGAAAGGCAAAAGCAGTTCTCACTTCTCCCTGCTTAGAATTGTCTCCTTTGAGATACAAAACACTACCCCAACCTCTCTCTCCTGGAAGTCAAGGGGTTGGACTTGCCTTGTTTGCAAACACTACTATGGCAAGCTTCTTGGAGCACACTGTCAAGGACAGTAAACCCTTCCCCTCTGAAGATCTCAAAAATCTATCAAATACTAATGTAGCATTTTGGTTAATGCTTCTATCACTTTTCATTTTTATTAAAATATCACTTTTAAAAGTCAAACAGCTTTCTAAGGTTTATAAACAAGGTGCTGTCATCCTCTTTATTTTCACTGGGTGTTGGCTTGCAGATATTTGCATCCATTATCGGCTCTTTTCATGCAACTTTTTTGTTTTTGTTTTTTAGAAAAAAATAATTACTTCATTTCTCTCCGTTTGCTTAAGTTTCCACATGCCTGTCACCAATTCTTCCCTGAATTCTCCATTAAAAATGTTCACGTGGTACCATTATGGTCACCCAGGGAGCTGTTCAAGCTGCTGCTTGGGAAACCTACATCCCAAATCACAGTACCTGGGATCCTGTTGACTGCTGATGTGCCTAGAAAGCCAACAGGTGATGGCTTTGCTACCTGGGTTCCTGCTACCCTTGCGAGAAACCTTCATTGAGTTCCAGCTCCTGGCTTTGGCCTGATTCAGCCAGGCCTTTTGTGGGCATTTTGGGAGTGGATTAGCGGACAGAAGATTCCTCTGTGTCTCCTCTTTCCATCATTTTGACTTTCCAATAAGTAAGTAAAACTTAAAAAAAACTAATGGCCAAGGGACTGGCCGCAGCTTGGTTCACCTGCAGTCTACACAGGAGTGCTGACTATTCTGCTTGCATCTAATTTCGCACTCATCCATCTTGGGAGGCAGATGTCAACCTGGACCTTTGTCACCCATATGGGAGCTAACAGGAGCCCTGGCCAGGCCCAGCTGTTGCTAGTAGTTGAGTAGCGAATCAAGAAAAAAGAACTTTCACTTCCCTGTGTCACTTGGCCTTCAAATAAAGAAAAAAAAAATAGATAGATTGTGAATTTCATTTTTTCTTCTTGGCGAGATCTCATCTAGTTTTCTGCCCTACTCCAACATGGAGTGCATGGGCCACTTGGACAGGCCAGCTGCGTGGGCCTCCCTTCACAACTGTGCTCATTAACTTTACCCGTCAATTTGACTGTTAAGGGCTACTGAGACCCTAGGTCAGCCAGGGTGTTTCTAAATGACCTCAGTATTTCAACTAATAAGCTAAGAGCACCCTCATGGCACCGATGAGAGCCTGAGTGGAAAAAGCCAGAAAAGGGAGGAGAGGACACAGGGGAGTGTAGGAGGGGGATGCACTCCTGGAGACTAAGCAGGCGATTCCTCGGTCCAAGCAACCTGGTGCTCTGGGCTGTGAGGACGGACTCACGCCACTGCCTTCCCCAGTCCCAGGCCTTTGGGTGGGATTGGAATTAACCACTATCTTGGCCGGATCTCCAACTCCGGAGTCACCTGATAACGCTCCATCCCTCCTAGTCCATCTCTGTACGTGTCTGTGTTCTGTTGGCTCCGTCTCTCTAAAGCCGGTCATCCACCGTAGGCGGGGCCGAGGGGTCCAAGGAAATGCTTTGAGGCCTGAAACGAAGTGCTCATTTGGGAACGGCGCTTTACTTAAGTCTTAGGCGAGCGGGGAACTCGCACACCCTATCACAGCTTAACCAGAGCAGTAAACTGGACCCTAAAACTGCCTCGGCCAAGTACCCAGCCGCCCGCCACGCGCAGGTTCTCGCGATACCCGCCTCCCCGCGCCCTTCCGGCTCCGGTCGGCCCCGCCCCCGCCGCAGCTCGTCGTCGTCATTTCCTGTGGGTCTGCAGGCTTAGAGAGAAGATGGCGGCTCTGGGAGAACCTGTACGGCTGGAACGGGGTGAGTGCTTCCCAGGCCCGGGTGGAGGTGGGCGGAGGCCGTGTGAGGGGGGCGTGCGCTGGAAGCGAGGAGGGAACGTCCGGGCCCCGAGATCCACTGCCAGCCGGTGTCTGGTGCAGGCGCGGGCGACCGTCAGCGTCGCTGTGCTCGGCTCCCGGGAGCTCCCGGTGCTTTGATTGGCATCCAGCCCCCGCCTCTGTCCGCACGGACTGGCCAGAGCTTAGCACGGGGGACGGGGGGGGACACTGCGGCCGCACAGTCCGAGACCTGAGACCCGAACAGCAAACACCACACACTGCTGAGACAGACGACGGGCTTCCCCACCTTGCACACACCCTGCAGGTCAGGTGCCTGCCTCCGGAACCTGACCTACCGCACACACTGGGTTACTAACCACCGCATCTCTTGCATGTGGGAACTAGTTTTGCTGGTTCCTCGCCATCCCCGATAAAGGTGAGGAGTGCCTTAAGGACAGTGCTGCTCGCTTGGTCTTGGGAAGGAGTTTATATAACTGGACCGGGTAGTGACACTTGCAGGTGTAGCGCGCTGCCTTGTTTACAAACACCACCGTGGCAGGCTTCTTGGAGCACACTGCCTGGCCGAGTGAGTTACAGAGGACCTGACGGTGCCCCATGGCGGCATCATTAATAGTTTCCCAATATTTCACTCCTCCATCCTCCCAAATTCTTTCTTTCTTTTTTCTTCCTAGCATGTTTTAGACACCACAACATTCGAATCATTGATAAGAGCCAAGAGGTACAAATAAACATTCTGAATGCTATTGGAAAGCAGCGCATAGGGTAGAAATTGAAATTGTTTTGCACGTAGTTGCATTTGCTACAGCCTGAGTATTTATATACTTTAAGAGTGCACGTTGTTAGAGTTATTGTAATTAGGTAAACCTCTTTCCTCGTGCCATCCCACAGCATGCACTTTGGATTGTCAGTTGGCTCCTTGTGGCTTTGGCGGTATGTGTATGGGAGACAGCTTCGCCCGTCAGGCTGGTGATGAAGGCATCTCTCTGACAGGGGAGTGGCTAGGCCCAAGACTGCCATCTTCCTGGTCAATGCAGTGGCAGTGTGCTTTGTAGATAGGGACAGATCTGTTGGATGTTGACAGGAATCTGTGTTTTCCCGTGCAAGGTGATTGTGGGATTGTGAAATGTTGGTGTCCTTTTGTGTTGTTAAGTGCAGCACAAAGTGTGACAGAAATGAGGAAATGGAGCCCCTGGCTCTCTTGAAGAGCAATTTCATATTCAATTTTGAATTGACTGTTGTTAAACACTTCTGAACTTCCTATGGTACCAAGAACCAGAAGGTTTTCCAGCACCCTTGTGGTATGCTGGGACTAAAGACCCTGCCTAACCCACAGCTCCACCGTGCTAGGCACGAGAAAATGTTTTTAAGTGTAATTTAAAAATTGTATTCGATTGTAAATATAGTTTAATTTCTTTTTTTTTTTTTGGCATTGTTCATTGACCATGTCCAGAGTAGAACTTTTGGATGTGTGTATTTTTTGAAATGTGAAGTTTACTTCTGAGATTATTGATGTTGTGTTCATTATTTCCGTTTTAAGCTTTACAATAAAGTGCCCAGCACCTTGCCAGAAATAAATTACTAGTGGTTGCCTTTTATTAAGATGGAGTCAAACTGCCTCAACTCTCGATAGAATTCTGTAAGAATCTACTAAAAACACTTGGCATAATTTTATAATGCAGGATTCCAAGTGTCCTCTCAACTATCAAGCCATGACTTAATAGAAAACAAATTTGAGCACATATTAGGTACAGGGTAGATTTAGTGAACTATTTCTTTTGTGGTTCGGTGAAAACTCTTACATGCTTGCTGTGTTAGAACTTTTGTGAATAATTGGCGAACCAGTCATCCCAAGTTCTGGTGGTAGGAAATCAGAATGGAGGTGTTCCATTCACATTGTTTTGGTGAACACCAGTGTGAGCTTTTTATTACCTGAAATTAGAAAACCACTTTCCTTATATACTACATTTATTTATAATTTTTCATCTGCACACACAAAGAAGACCGAATTCTAGGAAGAAAATTTTCCGGTTCACTGGTTGTAACATGAAATTGGAGGTTTCTTTCACTTAAATCAGACGAGTCAAAGAAATAATAGTCAGTGATGTGTACAAAAACAGTTAAGGAAAAAAAATAGAGATAGCCACAGCATTGTAACATGAATCTGACCCTGGGATTTCTAAATCTATGAACTTATAGTCTCAGGCTTCCCAGTGAGACCTGCCCAGCGTGCTTAGTGCATTTGCAAAAATGTATATAACCTCTTAGTCTAATGATCAGTTGTTGGTGGTATAATAATAACATTTATACTTTCTAGGCCCTTTTTTCATGATATTGTTTGATTCAGTCATCAAGTAATTCTTACCAGGAAAGTACTCTTATTTCCATTTTGCAGTGAAAAGGAGCCCACCAAGAAGATAGTGTTGAGATTAACAAAGCTAATCGTTTTATCTTTCTGTTTTGTAAACAGTCATATTTGATTGAACATACCTGAATTAAAACATTATCAGTGAATTGAAGTTGAAAGCAGACCAGTCAGTCTGTAGTTTGTTTGCTGCCTGCTATTAACTACACCTGTTAATGAAGAGCCTGCGTCTGTGTGTGCCATGTTTTCAGTCAGGAATTGAACAGTGACTTCACCTGAAGATTTATTTTTATTGCAAAGTCAGATACACAGAGAGGAGGAGAGAAGAAGATCTTCCCTCTGGTTTTCCACTTCTATATCAGCCTTTTTTCTGATGTGCTCTAAGATGTACTTGTCAGATTTTGCATTCCTTCCCACCATGGGTGCACATACCCACATAAGTCTTTCTTGCCATGTGTGTGCGCCCTCGTGCTTTTCCTATGCTGTGTTTCTGTATTTCTTGTTAGTCGTTGAGAAATAAATGAATACTATTATGTATTACATAGACATATGGGGAATCCTCAGAGAAAATTAATTTTTTTTAACTCTAGATATTTGTAGAGCAATTGAATTGTTGGAAAAATTACAGAGGAGTGGAGAGGTCCCACCGCAGAAACTCCAGGCTTTACAGAGAGTCCTGCAAAGTGAATTCTGCAATGCTGTGAGAGAAGTAAGTACATGTGATTCATATTTGCTACAGTTTTGAACTGATTAGGCTCTGAAATTGGGAGTTCAGAAAATCTTATTTAAAAAAAAAAAAGGTTTATTCATTACAAAGGGAGAGGGAGAGAATCTTCCATTCACTCCCCAAATGGCCACATTGGGTGGGACTGGGCCAGGCCAAAACCACTTGGCACTTAGGTCATCATGTACTGCTTTCCCACGTGCGTTGGCAGGGAGCTAAAGGGTAAGCGCAGCAGCCGAGGCTCAAATTGGTATCCAGATGGGATGCTGGTGCTACAGGCAGTGTAGTGAGATAACCCGTCTTCAGGTGATTGGTTGTTATCATTGTGGTTGTTATTGTTATTAGAAAGAATAGCAGAGATGAATCTTTCATCTGTTAGTTTACTTCCCAAGTGGCCACATGCTGGGGCTTGGCCGGGTGAAACCCAGGAACTCTGTCCAGGTATTCCTGGTGGGTGGCAGGAATCCAAGTATTTGGGCCCTCTGCGGCTCGTTTCACAGGTAGGTTAGCAGGGAGCTGCATGAGTGTGAGTGCAGCCAGGAGTTAAATTGGTGCTCCAAAGTTGGTGTTACAAGTGATGGTGGCTTAACCTGTTGTGTCACAATGCTGACCACAGTATCAGAATTTGGGGAGCAGGTAGATGATAGTTTGAATATTTGGGTGCCCTCCATGTGGGAGCTCTGGCTGGAGCTGCTGACTCCTGGCCTTGGCCTGATCCAGCCCTCGCTGTTGGCACTTGGGGAGTTAGCCAGTGATGGAAAATCAGTCTGCCTCCACCTCACCCCTGTCCCCTGCCACCACCATCTCTCTCTCAAATAAATAGATAACTTTTTAAAAAAATTATATTTTTGTCAATCTTTACATAACTAATTAGGGTAAAAAGGTTCAAGGGCTATAGGAAAGTGGGTAAGACTGTTATTTCCGTATTGTTTCCTTCATATATCTGAGGTAAAGGTGGATATTGAGAGAGAAGCCCCACCCAGTTTCCCACCCAGCCCAGGTCCTGGATGTAGGGCATGCTCTGAGATACTTGCTCAAGTGGTTTTGATAGTTCACCAGTTGTGAATCGCTGCCAATCTTGCCACTCCAAGCACAATGAGGTTGTCGAAGGATCCACTGATTGACATAGTCCATCATAGAGACTCCATTTGCCCAGTATTTTGCTGCCAACATATAGCTGGGGTGGTTGATTGACCTGTTCTGCCTTCTTTCTTTTCTTGGTTAGGGTTCTGAGTCCAGCATTTCAATTGGGGAAATCTCCAAAGAAACTGTATCTGAGGTGTTCTCAGACCAGATTCTCGTATGTACTAGCAGGTACAGGGCCAGGCTCAGGCAATGGCCCAGCTCAGCTGTTGGTTGCAATTGCTGGGTTGGTTCTGTTTTCAGCCCCGACTTCCGCTGGAACCAATGGGTGTTGCAGATAGATAACTTTTAAGAAATGTTAGAACTTGGTCTCTCTCAATTTTGTAATTTCTGATTAAATATTTCACAAAGATGCTTCAATTTGCTAAAATTTTAATATGTTTTTTGAGTACATGCAAAACACAATAAAGTATGCTCTCAAGTTTTAGATAAAATACACCTCTGGTTCTGCAGGTGTATGAGCACGTCTATGAGACCGTGGACATCAGCAGCAGCCCGGAAGTGAGAGCAAATGCAACTGCCAAGGTATGTATTTTCATTTACCAAAAGTATGAATTGTTTATGAAATACACACTTAAAATATGTTATTAGTAGATTCATAAGCTTTTCTTCAAAACAAACAAAAAAAAACGAATAATGTCTTTCAGCCTACACTGAACATTTCAAGAGCTTAAAACAAAAAATTTTTAAAATTAGGTTATAGGACATTTTATCATGCAGATAATGCATTGAAAATGTACTTATACACAAATAATACATCATAAAGGATATAACATGCATTATCCATGTATTGTGTAAATTTTCATCAGAATTCTGAGGTGTGAATTACTGAGCACATTTATTGATAAGCAATATTTATGAAGTTACTTGTCTTAAATCACATGTAGCAAATGGAGGTTACTTTCTGCTTTGCTGTAACTGCAAATATATAGAATAATATCAGAAGTAGGTTCCCTCTTTATAATTTCAGACAGTAGGTTCTCAAACAGTTCAAGCATTGACCATTGTTAATATCATCTGTGATCAGAATAAATTAATATAAAGCAATAGGTGACTTACTCTAGAATTAGTCATTAGGTAACTCTTCATTGATAGTTTACAAGAGAAGTACTGGATTGACAAACTACACTAACATGGTTGCTTGTGTTTGAAAAGAGCAAAATAAATTTTTTTGTTTGTGTTGTTTTGCTGTGTTTGTGTGTTTTTGAGTTCCAGGACCTTTATAGCTCACAGAGTTTCTGAGCCTTAGCCACCTCTGCTCTAGAATAATGCATTTCCAGAGCTTCAGGAATAGTATTTAACAAATCTGGTTTCTTTCTTGCTTCTTCCTATTTTCATGTATCCCTCTGTGTTCTAATCCATCACAGAAGAAGGAAAGTACCAGGAGGCAGCCTTGTGGCACAGTCAGTTAAGCCACCATTGTGACTGATGCCGGAGTCCCAGCTGCCTTGCTTGCAGTTCAGCTCCCTGGTAGTGCACTCCTTGCCACTGGAAGGGAAGCCTGGCTCCTGGCCCGTACTTGGCTTTGGTGGCCATCTGGCGAGTGAACCATGAGATGTAAGACCTCTCTCTGTCTCTCCTTATCACAGTGCCTTTCAAATAGTTTTTTTTTTAAGATTTTATTTATTTATTGGAAAGTCAGATAGACAGAGAGGAAGATCTTCCGTCCGATGATTCACTCCCCAAGTGAGTGCAACGGCCGATGCTATGCCGAGCCAAAGCCAGGAGCCAGGAACTTCTTCCCGGTATCCCACATGGGTGCAGGGTCCCAAGGCTTTGGGCCGTCCTCAAATGCTTTCCCAGGCCACAAGCAGGGAGCTGGATTGGAAGTGGAGCTGCCGGGATTAGAACTGGCACTGATATGGGATCTCGGCACATTCAAGGTGAGGACTTTAGCTGCTAGGCCATGCCGCCGGGCCCTCAAGTAGTTTTTAAAAGATGATTCCAGGGGCTGGTGCCAGAGTAAAACCGACTAAGCCTTGGCCTGGGCTCCAGCGTCTCATGTAAGTGCCAGTTTGAGTCCCAGCAGTTCTACTTCTGATCCAGTTTCCTGCTGATTGCCTGGGAAGGCTGAAGAGAAGGTCCTGCTAGAGACCTGCAAGAAGCTTCTGGCTCCTAGCTTCAGATCTGCTCAGCTCCAGCTGTTGCAGCCATTTGGGGAATAAATCAGCAAATAGAAGATCTCTTTGTCTCTCCTTCTCTCTATAACTCTGCCTTTTAAGTAAAAATAAAATGAATCTTAAAAATCATAAAAACAGGGGCTGCATTGGGCGGGCCAATCTTCCACCTAGTGGCACCAGCACCCCCTGTGCAGGCCTGGTTCAAGTTATAGCTGCTCCCCTTCTGATCCTGCTCTCTTACAGTTAGGGAAAGCAGCAGACAAAGGCCCAAGGTGTATGGGAATTTGAAAGTCCAAATGAGAAACTAGTTGCTGACTGTGGCTTCAGCCTGGCCCACGCCTGACTGTTGTGGTCCTCTGGGTAGTAAATAGTGATTGGAAGATCTCTATATTTTGTCTCTGTTACACTTTCAAATATATTTTTTAAAGATTTATTTATTTGATGGGCCTGCTGCAATAGCAGGATCCCAGATGGGTGTCGGTTCTAATCCAATCTGCTCCACTTCCCATCCAGCTCTCTGCTTGTGGCCAGGGAAAGCTGTCGAAGACAGTGCAGAGCCTTGGGACCCTGCACCTGTGTGGGAGATCTGGAAGAAGCTCCTGGCTTCAGATCAGCTCAGCTCTGGCCATTGCGGCCACTTGTGGAGTGAACGAGTGGATGGAAGATCTTTCTGTCTCACCTCTGTAAATCTGCCTTTCTAATAAAAATAGATCTTTAAAAATAAAAAGATTTATTTGAAAGGCAGGGCTGGGGGGTATGCAGAGAAGGAGGTCTTCCATTTACTGGTCTACTCTTCAAATGGCTGCCAGGGCTGAAGCTGTGAGCCGAGAGCTGCTTTTGGGTCTTCCATGTGTGTGACGGGGGCCCAAGTACCCAGGCCATCCTCACAGCTTTCCCAGGCACATAGGGAGGGAGCAGAATAGGAAGTGGAACAGCTAGGACTTGAACCATCTAACTTTGTGAGCAAAATTTCTGCTACTGTGCTATGGTGCCAACTCCTAATTTTTTTTTCTTCTAGCAAAGTCTTGATTTAACAGAGACAAACAAGCTGAAGTAAGAAAAGGTCCGTTTTAAATATGCAAAATTTCATTTTAGGCTACTGTTGCTGCATTTGCTGCCAGTGAAGGACACTCCCATCCTCGAGTAGTTGAGCTACCAAAAACAGAAGAGGGCCTCGGATTCAATATCATGGGAGGCAAAGAACAAAACTCTCCAATCTATATATCTCGAATAATTCCAGGTGGAATTGCTGATAGACATGGAGGCCTCAAACGTGGAGATCAACTCCTTTCTGTGAATGGAGTGGTAAGAATGAATTTTATTTCTATTTGCAGTGATGTTTTGTGACCAGCTGGGGTCACATTTGAGTTATTGAAATAAAATAAAAATTCAGGATTCCCTAAAAGGGCCAGGCAGAACCATTTAGCACAGTGATCCTTTTTAGAACACTTCAGATGTGCTTTGCTCCTTTTTTATGTAAATGATCAGTGCTTACTGCTTCTATGACATAATTAAGCTCTTCAGTAGTGAATAAAACATTAAGTTAGAAGTGTGCCATAATTATAGAAATACAGCCGCAGGATTTATTTTTGACTTAATGGAGTAGCGATTTGGTTGCTTAGAAAACAATTCTTAGGGGCTGGTTTTGTGGCTCAATGGGCTGATCCTCCACCTTCAAGAACCAGCATTCTCTCCAGGTGCTGGTTCCTATCCCAGCTGCTTCACTTCCCATCCAGCTCCCTGCTTATGGCCTGGGAACGTGGTAGAGGTTAGCCCAAAGCCTTGGGACCCTGCACCTGTGTGGGAGACCTGGCAAAGGCTCCTGGCATCTGACTTTATTTTTTAAATGACTGGCTTCAGCCATTGTGTCCATTTAGGTAGTAAACCAGCGGGTGGAAGATCTTTCCCTCTCTGTCCTTCTCTGTGTAAAACTATGCTTTTCCAATAAAAATAAATAAATTTTTAAAAATAGTTCTTACACTATAAACAATGTGGCATAGCAAAGAATTTTATACCAGTTAAGATGATAAAGCAGGGCTCTTTCTATTTTATAGCGTTGAAGTCATACAGCATTAAAACTTTTTCATGTGTGTTGAACATTCTTGTGTTTTTGCATAACTTACTAATTATGTGCCTATCTTTTTGTTGCAGAGTGTTGAAGGAGAACATCATGAAAAAGCTGTAGAACTCCTGAAAGCAGCTCAAGGAAAGGTTAAGTTAGTGGTCCGGTACACACCCAAAGTTCTGGAAGAAATGGAGTCACGATTTGAAAAAATGCGATCCGCAAAACGCAGGCAACAGACCTAATACAGCTCACACTTCATATCCCGGTGTCTTTTGCAGCTGGAGGTTTTACCTGTGACCTACCGAGGGCCGCAGTGCTAATGATTGTAAAAACAAACTTCCCTTGAGATCCTTCTTACCATTTTATAAATGCCTATTTTAACATTTATTTATGGTTCCAGAGAGGCATACACTTTTCTGATGAGAAAAAGTAAAAGGTGATGAGGGCAGTTCTGTCCTGCAGTTTTTACAGGCCTTTTTCAAATGCAGACTTTGTCATAAAATTGTTATAGATTTTTTAAAATGCTTTTTAATATTAAAATGTACTTTTACATTCTTAATCTTTTTTTAAGAAAAAAATGTTTTCTTTATTTGGCTACTTATTTGAAAATAACAGTTCTCCAATTCTTTTTTCACTTACTCTATTTTTTTTAATCTGCAAAATTTCTTTACAATTTTCCAGTAAATTAAACAGAATTGTCTCATCTATAGCAATTCATTAGCTCGTCAGTGTTAATATCACCGCTGCATTTTGTACTTTGAACACATATAGACTCAGTGGTAGATCAACTTGGCACAGTGGAAGTTTTTGCTTTTATTTAAGCATAATATATAATAAATATTCATTTATACTGATTTATACACGTTTTTTAAACACTGAAACAATCATTGATGAAATATGTAGTCTTAATATTTGAGCAGGATGTAATTTGATTGCTAATATTACTGATTACATCCCTTTATAGCCAATATATAAAATTGTAAATGCAAACAGATTTCTTTTGCAAATTTTTTTATGCTATTAATTTTTATTTAAATGTATTTCTTTTATTTTGTTCCTTCCATTCCTAGAGATGAGCTAGTTAGTTTGTGGTTGGAAATGGCAGAAGCAAAGAAAAAAAAAGTAATACATTCTCATTCTTACTGGTTCGTTCTTACTAGTTCAATTTCAAGAATTGATTTTCAGTAGGAAGAAGAGAGAAGGATATAATATACATAGTTATGATGTAGTGTATTTGTAAGAATCCAGCTGTGTCAAAATAAATAGGAACTATACATGTTAAAACGGCTGGATTTAGAAATACAGTCTTTGTTTACGGTCAAATATAGTGATGGGAAATTTAAGAGATACTTTATTGCATTTGTCCACTGGATGTCACTGTTTTACTAAACGGCAGCTATTGGTGTATGGTGATGAATGAGATCTGAAAAGCCGAAAGTAAAGAATGTGCTTTCAGTTACAGCTTATAGGAAGATTCTACTTTTTAAAATATTGCAAATGATGTGGAAAAAAAAGAGATACAGGTTCTAAATACATGAGTGGTTGGGCATCATTATTGACCTGTAAAAAAAAAAAAAGTGGGCGTTGTGTAACATTCCTTCAGGAAGACTACAAATGTATACCTTTGTCTGCATGTTTGTGAGCACTGTGATTCCTACAGGAGTATGCCAGGGTTCAGTGATATTTCAGAATAAGTCAGATCAGCATTGTTATTTATCATTTAGGTATTGAACACTGGATTGCATGGTTGAATGTGTCTTTAGTCCACTACAAAATGCTTGTTATTGATAGGATCATGTTCTTAAATTGTATATTTTCAAAACTGATGTTTTTAAAAATGTTGAGACCAAAGTAGTATAGAATAATTATGGACTTAATTTAATTGTAAAGTTATTCATTGTAGAACTTTATATATTAAACAGAGGTATTGGTGCATATGAAAACAATAACAATATTGTTATGCTCGTGTTCTTGCATTGCAGGGTAAGTAAACCCTGAAGAAATCTTATTTTAATGTAACTACAGCTGCAGTAGCTTTTAAGAATGTATCAACATTTCATTATAAATTACAGCTTCCTGGTTCGGTGTCTCAGCTGTTTTCAGAACTTCAGCCAAGTTAAATCTTTTTTGGTGTTGAAACTTAGTAAGTTGAGTAAGCTATTTTTTTTTTTCCTACAGTAATCCACAATCTGTTCTTTGTGCGGATTGGCACTGTTTATATTTCCTAAAGTAAGGACAGTTTCAAGGAGCCAAATACAGCAGTCTTGCTTGCTCCTGTTGAGCATGAATAGAAGTAGCTTGTTTTCATTAATGGAGTTTTCATAATGTCTCCCAGAATTTTAAATCTTGACCACAGAAAATTCAATCCTTCAGTGGCAAAAAGGTAGAGAGCATTAGCCTAGCACAGAAAGGAAATGAAGGGAATTTTCATCTTACAAAAGGATGGTTCAGGAAGAAAACCTAGTATACTATAGGTATTTGATTTATAAATTACCCCCCTTTCCAATTTCCATCTGTTTTTTCTTGTTCTTTCACAATGGTTGACTGAGTGGTTCCTGACTGGCTGCACAGGCGAGCACCTGCTGGGCTTCAGGAGTATCTGTCACTGTCCAATCAAACAGTGCTAACGAGTCAGAACCGCTTTTCCTCTTAAAAGCTTCTTTGATGGTTCTGGTGGACAACCAGAGCTGAGAACCAGCAGTTCTCAGTTTATAAGATGATCTAAGTACACTAGATTATGTCTGGAAGTATCCGTGGAATAATTCAGCTTGCAGCTATTTAATGATTGATGACTTTCCTTAGGCATTAGATAGCTTGGCATTCTTTTATTTGGAAAGTAATTACATTCTACTCTTGTAAAATTGTGAGTAGTTGAAATGTAAACTTAATATGTCATCTTTCTGCCCCATTGCCTTTAAAGCTTAGAAAAATAAGTGTTTATTTGAAAAAGCATGCTTAAACATTGCAGATGAGAAATGTCAATGGTAATTATTTTATTAATAAGGCCACTTAACCATTAGCATTAAACTAGATTATAGCGGCCTCGGTCTATAGGTTTGGGTGCTTCAGATGTGTTTTATTAAAAAAAAAAATTCTAAATTTCTAAAATTTTTCTGATCAAGTAGTTTGGCCCCAATACAGTGTTTACAATTAAAATGGATATTATAGCACTTAATAATAAAAGAAATGGTTATGGCTTAACTGAAAAGAATGTCAGCATGGCTTGGTATAGACTTAAAGAGTACATATTGTGCATATTTTATAATGTGGAATGATAATTGAAATATCAAGGACTTTAGTAATTGTATTTCCTGAATAAATGTATGTTTATGAATTTTCTAACGTACATCTTGTGTCCTCTGCCAGTAGTCTGTTTTGTAGATTTCATTATGTACAGTTCACAGACTGTTGCTTCAAAGGTTGTTGCAGTCATGGAAAGAAATCACTGCTTGCTTATTAATTCTTAACTTTCAAACTCATTTGTATTTGGACATGATTTTTAAAATATTGGCAAGTATTATACTTCTACTTTTTGGTTAATAGCCAAAATGATGTAAAATAACACTTTTTTCAATAGATGGTTTCCTTTATGAGTTTAATTTTGATCCTAAGGCTTATTTAAAATAAATTTTTATGAGGCATGTCCTTGTTCATTGGAATTTAAAAATTCAGCAACTATACAATGGATAGGATTTTGAAAGCCGTGCATGTTAAGCGACTTGTACATAATCCATCGTGGTTGCTTTGTTTAAATGGACCTTCAGATTTTTACGTTATGCCCTTTATAAAATGTAAATTCAGAAGAAATTCATTATTTCAAGATGGGGCACGGTATGGGACTGAGAGCAGTATGTGACAGACTGGAACCCAGCAGCTCTGGGTTGGATCCCGGTTCTGTGTGAGTGTGACCCGGGACAAGCCTCCTGCTGCGCTGTGCCTGGGGTCTGCTCTCATGCATCCCTCAAGCGCCTGGGTACCTGGCATTGTGCATACTATGTGTATCTTCCTACTTTTTCCTTATACAATAACATTAGGACCTTGTTTGCTGAAAGAAATAATTTCCAAACAATAAAATTAGCAGATTCTTATTATTGATGCCTAGAAAAGCTAACCTTAAAGTTAATGCTTGAAAAAATCAGGACGAGCGAGACTCATGTGGAACTTCAGGTCTCTGTCTCTTCTGGTTAAAGAACCTCGTGGAATTCTGCAACTAGTGCACGTCGGAAGGGTACAGAGCATTGGGACCACATTCAGAATGAAAATCAGTGATAAATAAATCCAGGGAATAATTTTTAAAGAAATTAGCCAGCTCTTACCAGAATGAATTACAGGATGAAGTCACTACAAAGTGTAAATCATGAACTTTTTTTTTTTTAAGATTTATTTGTTTTTATTGGAAAGTTGATCTGTCTGCTGGCTCCCCAAGTGGCTGCAACAGCAAAAGCTGAACCAATCTGAAGCCAGGAGCCAAGGTCATAAGGCTTTGTTTCCCAGGCCACAAGCAGGGAGCTGGATGGGAAGTGGAGCAGCTGGGACACGAACCGATACCCATATGGGAATCTGGTGAATGCAAGGCAAGGATCCAGCCACTAGGCTATCGCACTGGGTCCGCCATAATGAAATTTTCAAAAAAATTGAAGTGTACCATGCAGAAGGGTTTTTAATTAAGAAAGGATGCCAGCCGCCAGTCCCAACTCTTGCTGGTGGGTGCTGCAACCTGACCCTGCTCCATCTGCTCTCATCCCTGACTTAATGCGAACCAGTAGGCGTGGCAACCTAGCCCAGCATGACCTGCACTCCATCCTGGTTTCTGCATTTGCCAGTCGGCTATGGTTTGCTCAGCCCTGTCCAGTGCATTCCTTTCCAAAACCAACTCACATACTTGCCAATGGATGGAGCTACCCTGTCCAGCCTGCCCAACTCCCAGGTCTGGACCACGTGCTCATCAGCAGGAGCTATGACCTGCTAGGGGAGTTGCCCACGTTCCCACACTCAGCAAACTTCCAGACCCAGATCTCATGCATGCCAGTGGGTGACATGCATGCCTGACATGGCCTGACCCATCTGTCCTTGCCTTTTTATGAGCTGGTGTGGTCTGGCCACCCCACACCCTGTTTTAGGGTGCCCATGGGGGTGATGCAGCCTGAAACTGAGCCACTTTTTCCCAGCCCCAATACCGGTGAGCATGGGTGAGTTCCATGGTCATGCCTAGCTCAGCCCATCACCATCCCAACTCCCTAGCTAACCAGCAGGACTTACAATTCCATAGGGTTGGGCCCATATATCCCCCATAGAATCCACCCCCAGACCTGGTTCTGATGCGTGCTGGTTGGTGCCATGACCCAGTTTAATGTGACCCATTCCCTGATCCAACACTCACTGTCAGGTACTGGGCTCCAGCCCTGCCAGACAGGCCCCCAGCCATAGCTTGCAAGTACACTGGTGTGTGGTAGGCAGCCATGTTTTCATGCTAACAAGCCCAACCCAGAACTTCCATGGGGCAGGTGCATCAGTCTGACCCATAAAGATCTTCAATTCTCTTCTCCAAACCACCAGGTCTCAGTCCCCTCACCTGCAAGTAAGTCCTCTCATTGGGTGTTCCTCAGGATGCATTGTTTACCTACTCGTACAATGGCCTTAACCATGGATATCCCCAGGTAGTAATTCTACACTCCCAAGACCCCAAGAGCTATCCACCAGGCAGCCAGCAGGCAGAGCCCACCCGTAAGCCCAGGACCCTCTCCCTGCCAGCTGCGATGAATGGGGAGCTAGGATCCCCAGCAGGGAGCCTGGGCCGGCACTGGTACTCCCAGCCACAAGCACGTGGTTGAGGGATCCATGCACCTACGCTGCTGCTCAGACTTACCTCAGCTCAAAGAACTTTCCCAAAGTTGTCCTTGTCCGGGCACTGCCTCCTTGAGCACTAAGGACAGGTGTTTCTGCGACAGCCCCTGCTCCATTTGGCCACAGGGTCTGATCTCTGATGTGTGCAGCCTTCATGACGTGTATACAGAGCATCGTTGCAGCAGAGCTGTTTGTGTTGCTCCTGCTTTTAAAGTGTTCATGGTACATCGAGATGATCAGTCTAAAAGGGGGAGGGGAGGCAGCACAGGCCTTTGGTTCAGTTGTGAGGTCACCACTTGGGGGGTTCGCATTCCCATTAATGGTTCCTGAGTCCTCTGCTCCCAGGTCAGCGTGCTGCCAGTGCACAACCTGCAGGGCACAGGTGCTGGGGACTGCTTCTCGCATGGTGTCATGCATGACGTTTTGGGCTTCAGGCTTCAGCCTGGCCCAGCCCTGGCTGTTGCAAGCATCTGGGGAGTGAACCAGTAGATGGAGCATGTCTTCCTGTCTGTTTCTCTACCTGTCAAAAAATTTTTTAAATTTTGCCATGGTATAAGATGTCCAACATAATCCTTCATTATTTCCTCTTGAGCCTCGTTTCATTCTGCTGCCCAGTTTTTTAAATCCGCACCCAATTCCTCTTACTGAAGTCTTTCCCAACAGGTTGCGCCTCATTCGAGAATCAGCTGACATCACCTCTCAACCTTCCTGAGGATGTCAACACCTGTTTCTATTTTAGTTTGCTTAACTGTCTTCCTCTAGAACTCACGTTCCTAACCAGCCAGAAGGAGCACATCAGAACCACATTGCTTGATGCAGTTCCTTAGCATGGCAGGAAGTTTTGTCCACTGCCAGATCAAGCGCTTTACATTGAAACTGTGTCAAAACCAACAATGAAAGCAAGCACGAAACTTTGAACTGAGGTCATTACATGCCTAGAAAGGACCAAAATACTAAAGGGAAAACAATACCTTTACGTCTTATTACTTCACGCCATCAAAATGCCAAGTAGTATTTGCAGGGCATGATGATGATGAAGGCTATTTTAGTTTTTTACTTATGAACAAAAGTTCCAACTGATGTTAAGAGTAGCTAAAATGTGTACATTATTGATTTTAAAAGTTTTCAGAAAATCAACAAATAATAATGAACGGTTGTATGCTGCTTGCTAAGGCCTGGCGTTGTTGTTGTTGTTGCTTTAAGGTTTATTTTTATTGGAAAGTGAGGTATACAAAGGAGGAGAGGAAGAGGAAGATCTTCCATCTGTTGATTTACTCTCCAAATGGCCAAAACAGCCAGAGCTGAGCCAATCTGAAGCCAGGAGCTTCTTTTGGCCCTTGTTTGCTGGTGCAGGGTCCCAGGGCTCTGCAACATCCTCGACTGCCTTCCCAGGCCACAAGCAGGGAGCTAGATGGGAAGCAGGGCCCATATGGGGTCCCAACACATGCGAGGCAAGGACTTTAGCTGCTAGGCTACCATACTGGGTCTAAGACCTGGCTTTTTAACTGTCTCAACTGTGCAGTTTTAGGTAACAAACAAAAACAAAAAACAAACAAAACAGCAGTGACATAGTGGACTTAAGTCTTGATTTTGCCAATTAACATGATTTTGAAGCCCTGATTTCCTTGAGATAGGAGGAGGTTGATGATTTCCAATCCTGTTTTGTCCTTTTAGAGAGTATTCTCTGCTAGTTCATTCACCCGAGGGACTGCCACGGTTAGGGCTGGGCCGCACTGAAGCCAGAAGCCGTGAACTCAGTCCTGATTGCCCACAGTGCAAAGGCTCAGTTACCCAATTCCTTGAGCCACTACCGTTTGGAACCAGGGATAGAACACAGGGTCTATGAGAGAGATTTGGGCATCTATGATATTTTTTAAATTTTTTTTTAAGTTTGCTTATTTGAAAGGTAGAATTATAGGGGTAGAGAGAAGTTGAAACAGAGAGCTAAAGGGGCAGAAAGACTAGGGGTGGGCCAGTGCAAAGCAAAGGGCCAGAAGCTTCAAGTGGACAGGGGCCCATGTCCCTGGGCCTTGCTCTGCCGCTTTCCCAGGCACATTCGCAGGGAGCTTGGTCGGAAGCACAGCAGCCAAGGCTTGAGCCGGTGCCCAAATGCGATACCACAATGCAGCAAACTAACCACTGGCCAAATGCCTTACTCCTGGTTTATTTTATTTATTTTTCTTTCATTCTTGGAGAAGCATTTTCTTCAGCCAAAGCTAAATTAGCAATACTACTCTACTTCGAGGGTTGGAGGGTAGGGGCTGGGTCTTACCTTGAGTCACTTCGCACTCTCCAGGGTTGATGGATTCTTCCAGCACATTTGGAAAACCCTTGCCCTGGAGGATCTTTAAAGTCCATTTCTGTTCTAAAAGTTCAGTATAAAATGCTGTTTTTTTGATGTGAGTGGGATTATTGCACGACATAAACCCGAATAGTTTATCCACGAAAAAGCATTTGCAATATTGGAAATACTGAAAGTCGTGCCTGGCTGCCTTCCATTGA